GTAAAGTTCCACTAGCCAGACGCATGGGCCTAAAAACAATTTTAACAGATGAGGAGGAAATGAGAGTGAAGCAGTGGATTTCAGATAAGGCTGAAATCGGTTATCCTATGCACCACATGATAGTTAGAAAATCTGTTCAGAATGTCCTCAAACAAATCAAGAGACCTAATCCGTTCACAAACAATTTATCTGGCAAGAAATGGATGAGACTATTTTTGAAACGTCATCCAGACATTAAAAATAAGAAGACAGAGATGTTGTCAAGAGTACGAGCTGCTGTAATTGAATCCTTAATTAGAACTTGGTTTGATGATGTAATCAAGTATTTGACTGAAGCCAATGCGCTGGATATATTAAGTAATCCTACAAGGATATATAACATAGCCGAGACTGGAATTTGTTTAAGCCCAAAAACTGGTAAATTATTAGCTCCTGTCAAACAAAAAAATGTTTACATGATTTCTCCTGGTGCCGATAGACAGCAAGTGACAGTGTTCTGCTGCTTTAGTGCTGCAAGTGTTAGTGTACGACCCATGATAATGTATCCTTATAAAAAGTATCTACTTTGTAATGCGGTACATTACAAGGCCTTTCCTGAGCGCTGCATTATTTGCAACACCTCAGGAAAGCCATTCCCGTCCCTTGCCGCTCCGTAACCGGTTGAGTAAAATAAAAACAAACGCGCCCTATAAAAAAACAATTACTTTTTTCATGCCCGAACAACCACACCGGAGATAATGGCGAAACAAACCCGACAAACGCGATCCAACAGACACACAAAAGAAAAAAAAAAGGAGCGCATCACGAAATAAGAGAACGCACGCACACACTCACTCCCGACCACGTGTTGCCGACCGGCAAAAGAAAAACAGGAAACTTCACTGGGAAATGCAACGGAAATGCATGTTGATGACACATGCAGATCCGTTACACTCCCAGGCACCAACACCAACATTCACAAGACACTAACACTCCTGGGGCAAGCAGAAAATCGCCGATGAAGTGGCAGCCGGCAATCAGCTGGCTCGGGCTGCCGAACACCATCGGCGACATCCTGAGCACCACACATAACGACAATGATAACCACACACACAAACACCCGGGAGAACGTCACTTAACCGACACAGGAGCGCCCCAGGAGGCGCTCCAACAACCGATACGAGAACACGAAGCGTACACGCGAGAGACCGAGCGGCCATTTTGAAACGCCGAGACAGACTGAGAGCCAGCGAGCGAGACAGAGCGAGCGAGACAGACTGAGAGCGAGCGAGCGAGACAGAGCGAGCGAAATAGACTAAACAAGAGCGAGCGAGACAGATGATATGAAATGATAAATAGAATAAAATGTAAATGCGAGGATGGGGGCGCTACAATTGAAACGACGTATATTATATATGCATTCACAACGAATTAAAATTAAAATTATAATGAACATGGAATAAATACCGAATTATAAAATTCGCATGCGACCGACACACCCCCTATTATAATAGCGATCGACAACTACCCCGTTAAATTGAATTAGTAAATTAACCGACAGAATTCGAACCTCTGACGAAATTCGCTAGTGACGTCACGACCAATAAGCGAATTAGAATAAAATTTGATTTCCGTCCGGATAGAAACATAGATAAGAGTAGGGGTAAATCTTTTCCGTTAATTAATGATAGCTACCTTAGTGGGGGGGGGGGTGTGAGAGGGTAGATAACGGCGAAAGTAGGAGAATTAAGGAGGGCGCTGTATCCTTCTAATTTACATACGGACCAATGATAAAATATTCGAAGGGCGCTACCGATATTCGAATTAGCATATCGACCAATAATAACATTTCTTCTCGGAAAGAGGAGAAGAAAAGCTATCTTTGACCGCGAAAAGCCGATTCTCGTCCAATTTGCCACCGGTCTTCTAGCGAGAAGGAGTAATCCCTAGATAATCTTGTCGCAGGACCAATTGCACTAGACGCCTTCTGTTCTCGCTAATTTTGTTCGCAGAAACAGCAAGGAAAATCGTAAGTAGGCAAAGTGCCACTCACTTATATTAATCGCGGAGTACGGGAGTGGAATTTTCAGTGCCGTAGGTCGTCGCGACGCGTGGATCCGTCGATGCCGGTGCCTATCGAATCGCGCTGATCTTTCCGCCATTTCGTAGATCGAACGTGAGTGTTAGGTTTATACGAATTAAAGGCAGTGGTTGAGTTATTTGCGCTGACCTTTCGCTGTATACTAAATCGTTGCGCACGCAGAAGTAGCCAAATAAAATTATCGTGCTTATTTAATTGTGCTGACCTTTCCGCCATTTCGTAAACCGAACGTAAGCGTTAAGATCAGACAAAGAAAATTCGTGATTTAGGATATTCGCGCTGACCTTTCGCTAATAAAATTTATTGCGAACGTAGAATTAGCCGAATGAAATTACCGTGCTTATTTAATTGTGCTGACCTTTCCGCCATTTCGTAAACCGAACGTGAGCGTTAATATCAGACAAAGAAAATTCGTGATTTAGGATATTCGCGCTGACCTTTCGCTAACAATTTATTGCGAACGTAGAATTAGCCGAATAAAATTATCGTGCTTATTAAATTGGGGTGACCTTTCCGCCATTTTATAAAATCAATCGTGAGCGTTAGGATCGGACAAAGAAGGCTCGAGAATTAATTTATTCGTGGTGACCTTTCACCGATAAAATGATCCACTGTGAATATTGAAGGTGTACGAATTCGTACTCGTGATTCAATTAGATACGCGCTGACTTTCCGCCGTATAATACTTTATTGCGGAAATTGGGAATAGATGAATTAGAATTCGTGATTTAGTTATTTGCGCTGACCATTCCACCATCTTTGTTAATCGAAGACCGACCGGAAAATTATTAATATTTCGATTAATTTGTACCCTTGCTATTTCATAATTATTCAGAGTTATACTAACCCTAATAACTCCGACTTCTTGCTTATAAATTAATAAATACGTCAATAACGTGATTAATTGTTTTTTACATACAATTTACTTCTGTTACCCTACCTCAATTGCATGCTGAGGATTTTCAGCCGCGGGCGGTTATAATTGGGTAACGCTGATTCGCTATATTTTCGGGTCCCACGATAGGTAACATACGCGCGAATTCGAACGGACTTACGACCTGAATTAAGGAGCCATCATCTGAGCTGCAAGCATACCATAATTAGTAGTTGGACACCGAGGCCTGAAACTGAGGAGTTCTCGAGTACTCACCTACTTGCCTACCTTGCGCAGTCGCCGTGAAGGCAAACCGGGATACACGCGACAAAACCCCATTTTGGCCCTACCCCCGACGATCGCCTTAATTAGCCGGCGGTCTGGCGCCCTAAATAATCGGGGGCAAAGAGTCAAACAGGCCTTGTGGCGGAAGAAATTCGTAGCGCGGTTAAAACCCCCGAAATTCCCCGCCACAACTTGAAGACATTGTCAAGTCAGTACATAATGGATATGCATTTGGCTACAGTGAAAGTGGTTGGATGACTATAGCTGTTTCTACGAATACATTGTGAATTGTTTTCATTCACAATTAATTCAAAATGGTGTCAAGTTCCCAGTTATTTTATATTTTGATGGCCACTCATCACACATCAGTATTGAGCTGCACGATTACTGTGTTAAAAACGAGATCATATTATACTGCTTTATTGCTCATTGTTGGATGTGGGATTTGAGCCAATAACTTTACACAGTGAAGTTTTATTGAAATATAACAAAAGTTTAATATTTGTTGCTTAAGCCAACTCAACGCAAGAACAAGATGTTCGAAGATATGCTGAGCTTTACGAACAAGGACAACTTGCTTGTTTGCCGGCTGAACGATGAGTCCCAAAACTGACTAGTGTTTTCTTCGCGTGGGGCCCGCTCGCCCCCTTTTCCGGACGTCCGCTACAGTTTTCGACAGCTCTAGCCCTCTCTTTAGGCCCCGCTGCCGCGCGCATCCCTTCGCTCCACCTACGCTGATATACTCTCGTTCGCTGTCTCTCTTTTAATTGTCTCAAAAGGCTACTTCTACTCTCTCTCTCTCTCTCTCGCTCGCTTTTCCGTTCGCTTGCCTGATGGACCCACGGTCGGCCTGACAGCCTTCCGTGCCGTATGTTTGGGTGACCTTCAATACCCTGGAACAATGTTCCCTCGCGAGGTCTGACAACACTCGGGGAGCTCCTATGCTCGCCGATGCTGATAAAATTGGGCTTCAAGGCCACGCTACGCCGCATTCAAGGCGCTCGTGCACATTCATGTCGCGCAACGTGAACGCGCGAGAGAGATCGAAGCTTTGTTGTGTGACGTATAAAACAAGAGGAAAAATATGCAAATTTGAATCGAGAGACAGCCAACGACGAAGTAGTCGCAAACAAACAAGTTGATTATTCTTTTCACCCCTTTGACTATCTTATATCTAGATTACATATTATCTATGCACGCATTTCATTCTTATTACCACATGGACATTTCATATACAGTATAACATGAATACAAATTTGTTCTATTACAACTTACACCTATTCCAGAAACATACATACGCACACGATGATCATAAATCCCGCTGTTACAATGGTCTTAAAAACTATTGAAAAGAAGACGTTCGAGAACAGCTCCGCATTTACGATATTGACGCTTTTTGCTTTTACGCGTATTCCATCGCAGGCTTCGGATTAAAAAAAAAAAAAAAAAAATGAGGTGTATGCAGCGCATCTGCTGACCACGTGTTCCCTGCTGCACTATTTGCCGGGCAAAGGGCCCTAAACCCTTTTTTTTTTTTTTTTTGAACTACCGGTCAGTATTGCTGCTGTCGTGCCATTTGCTGGTTTTTTTTTGGGTTTTCCCCAACGGCTTTATTGCCCGCGCGGGCCTCAAATTCTTTTTCAAAACTACGGCAACTCGAAATTTTGCTGCGTAATTCATGATGGGATATTTAGAGCTTGGAGCGCAAGCTGGTAGAAATATTGCGTTTTCAACATCCTCCCCCCAGTCTAGGAATTCATTTTAATTTCTAGACTTCTCTGATGGGCTGAATATTTTTACCAGTTTGTTCGCCGATCTTATTAATTCCTTTTTTCCGGCGCGGACTTTAACCACTCGTATCACGTCATCAGACTGGTTCGGATAGACTTCAATGACTCGACCTTGTAGCCACGAGTTGCGAGGTGCTTGGTAATCGACAATGAGCACGATATCACCGATTTTCAATGGTTCGACGGGGGTGCGCCATTTGGTTCGCGGGAGCAGAGACTGCAAATATTCGCGTAGCCACCTTGTCCAAAAACGATTTGCTAAGTTTTGCGCTGTTTCAAAGGCTTTACGGGGACTGTCTATTTCATTTTCGAATTTCTCTAAACGCAAGTGTCCGGATGAACTTCCTATCAAAAAATGATTAGGTGTAAGTGCTTCCTCGTCCCGCGGGTCGATTGATACGTATGTAAGCGGTCGCGAGTTTACCTGATGCTCGATCTCTACTAACAGGGTTTGCAAGACTTCTTCTGAGGGAGTTTGTCCGTCGAGCGTATGTTCTAATGCGGTTTTCACGGAGCGTATTAACCGCTCCCATGCTCCCCCCATGTGAGGAGCATTAGGAGGGTTAAAATGCCACTCGAACTCATGCTTTTTCGCGTAACGTCGCTGCTTTGTTTTTTCCTCATTCATCGCTGCGTACGCGGCTTTAAACTCCTTGTTTGCCTGAACGAAGTTGGTACCGTTATCGCTGTACAGATGTCTCGGAAAGCCTCGCCTATGAGCAAATCGATCGACGGCCATCATACACGAGCTTGCGTCTAGCTTGTTGGCTAATTCTAACTACCGCTCGCGTAGTTAAGCACGTGAAAAGAACACCCCATCGCTTTTTGTGACGACGCCCGATTTTTACCGTAATTGGGCCGAAGTAGTCAATACCGCAGTGTGTGAAGGGTCGTTGTTTATAGGCTCTGCGAGCTTTCGGCAACGCGGCCATCGGTGGATTTGTTGGTTGCGCGCGGCGCTTGCGACAGACAAAACAACGTTTGGCTAGCCATCTTAGCCTGCTTCGAAGTCCGATAATATAAAATCTTTGGCGCAATTCGTTAATGACCGTTTGATTATTAGCGTAGTAATATCGTTCATGGTAGTTTTTAATGATTAATCGCGTTGCGAAATGACTGGCGTCTAAAATAATCGGATTCATTTCGATATCGACGTCCTCGCCGTTATCGTTCTCTACTTGTACTACGCGTCCGCGAGCACGCAGTAATCCTTTTTCGTCAACAATTGGATCTAAACTAATTAATTTGCTCTCTCGTGGGAGCTCTTTCCCTTTTTCCAATAAGGTCATTTCGTGCGAGAAGAGTGAGGCTTGGATAACTCGAAACCAAACATTTTCAGACTCACGCAGACGATCTTCCTCGGACTCGATTCTTCGGTGCGCCGGCGGACCTATCGGCCTTTTCAACTTTGATTTCTCTCGATGTCGACGTCTATATCGCGTTGCGCGATCTGTTGTATTTTCTCCCTGTCGCTTCCGTACATTGTCGAGCCAAATATAAAAATATTTTCGCACGACCGTTGCTACCTCTCTAATTCTATCCCACCCGAGCACTCTATATCTAACATCTAACGTATTCCAATTGTCTGGCATATCGATTTGAAACGTTCCGATAAATTCCTTACGCGCTTCTAACTCGTTGATCTCCCGTTTCTCCGACTCGTTTAGCGATTTGGAACGAGGCCAGGACTCAGGCTTCTCGAGAAGGAACATTGGGCCTACTAACCACCGATCGTCCGAATGCATCGGTACTTCCGAGGGTCGCGTCGCGTCATCAGCTGGGTTCAGACTAGTAGAGACCCAGCGCCATTCGGCAACTTTCGTCGCTTCGCCAATCTCGCCCAATCTATTAGCAACGAACATTTGTTTTCGGGAAGGGTCTGCGCGAATCCAATGGAGAACTGTCGTGGAGTCGGTCCAAAACACGCGTTCATGAATAGTGATTTCGATCTCTTTCTCGGTCATTGCGGCTAATCTCGTTCCAATTACGGCTGCCTGTAACTCTAACCTGGGCACTGACATCGGTTTAACTGGGGAGACGCGTGATTTTGACATAATTAGCGCGGTACGAACTCGGCCATCGCGCGTCTCCATTCTTAGATAGGCTACGGTAGCGTAAGATTTTAAACTCGCGTCACAAAAAATATGCAGCTGCACTTTTACGTTATCAAAGTCAGAGAAAAGAAAGCAACGCGGTATTTTAACATTTTTCATTTCCGCTAAATTTTTTAACCACACGAGCCAAATTTTAAATTCTTTTTCGCGGATCGGCCCGTCCCATTTTATGCCACTACGCCAAATATCCTGCATAATAAGTTTCGATTGGAGGGTGAAAGGGGCAAGTATACCAAGTGGGTCGTAAACCGACATCGCGATGCTAAAAAATTCGCGCTTCGTCGGCGGCTTAATTCCATTCGCTAAATCCGCTCGAATTTTGTTGAGACCGACGTTGAAGCTTAAGGTATCTTCATTCCTATCCCAGTATAGGCCTAAGACTCGCTCGTTTGTATCGCAAAGGCTCGCCGGATCGTTCTTACTTAATTTCTGCTCGTCTCGCACGTCCTGCACTACTTGCGGTTCGTTTGACGCCCACCCATGCATTTTAAAATTTGCTTCGCTATTAATATGTATGACGTTTCGCACGCGAGTTTTCATTTCCTCTATTGACTTTCCTGACGCTAGATAGTCATCCATATAACTATTTTTGACGATACTTCGCACGGCCTCAGGCAGCGTCTCGGCAAATCTCTCCGCATTTTTATTTTTAATATAAATAGCGCTGCATGGTGAGGAGGTCGCACCAAAAACTAAACTCATGTTTTCGTACACTTCCGGCTCGCGTTCGCGATCAGCACCTCGCCAGAGAAATCGTTGCGCGCCGCGATCCCGCTCCAACATTTTGATACGCATGTACATATCCTTGATGTCGGCTACAACGGCAACTTCGAACTGTCTCAAGCGTAAGAGAACTCCAGGAAGTGATTCTAAATAATTGGGTCCTGTTTCAAGCAGATCGTTTAATGAGACTCCCCCCGTTTTAGCAGCCGCGTCAAAAACTAATCTAACCTTATCGGGTTTATTCACATTTTCTACGCCGAAGTGAGGTATATACCAGACTCGCGGCCTCCGCGCCTCGTTTTCCAGTTTCACGGCATATCCGTTTTCGATTAAACGCCCCATTTCTTTGTAATAACGTGCTGCGAAATCCGGATTCCTATCTAATTTCTTTTCTAATGACCGAAGACGTTTCATGGCAGTGACTCTGCTGTCGATGTTCGGCATCAAACCCGGCTCCCACAACAGGCCCGTCTCCCATTCTGCGCCAATCTTCCGCGATGTTGATTCTAAAATTGCTAATGCTCTATCGTGGGTGCTGCTTTTATTTGCAGTCACTCTCACCCCGAGACTCTCAATATCGTAATACTCTTGTACCCGTTTATCTAACCTTTCAAGAATTTGCAGTTCGGAATCGCTTTGCTGTTTACCGCTGCAGCAGACTGTGTGAGCGTTTATCGTGTTTTTCGATTCACGATCTGACTTCATGTACCCGTGGATTGTCCAACCTAAAGCTGTGCGCGAGACTACAATGCCGCTTTTGCCTAGTGCTCGGGCTTCTTTAGGATGTAATAGAGCCCAATTGTCTTGTCCGATGAGAATTTGAGGTTTCGCGTTCAAGTAAGGCACGACTTCCACGTTTGCGTGTTCTTTTACGCGCTGCACAATGTCTCGCGATAGTGATTGGTGCGGTAAATCTAATGGGGGTACTGCTAATGCGTGTTCGATTTCTTGCTCTCCGAAGGCACCCCGCGCTGTGAAATTTAGTCGCTCGCACTCTGCATTCACAGCTCCACTCCACAATCCTCGGATACACATATTTAATTTTTCCCCGGACAAGCCTAACCTTTTCGCTAAACTTTTGTCGATTACACTAACCGTGGAGCCTCCGTCGAGTAGAGCATACGTGCTCGTTTCGCCCTTAGGTCCAGTTACGCGGAGAGGCACGATTTTTAGCAGTCCCTTTCTCGACACTAGTCATTTCCTTGCGCTTTCTCCGCGCGCGCTCGGAGAACGGCTGCGATGTGAGCCCGAACCCTTTCTGTTCTCCCTATCATTGCTCCTTGATCGACGCCGCTTGCTCGTATGGTGATCTCGCTCCTCGCTGCGCCTCGAATCATCGCGTTTCGAATAATTTTCTCGATCGTTACGGTAGAAATGCAGCAGTGAGTGATGATTTTTGCGACACTCATCACACCCTGACCTTTCGCATTGGTACCTGGCGTGTTTGTCCTCGAGGCAGTTGAAGCAGAGACCAAGCCTTTTCGCGAGAAACCACCGCCGTTTCGTGCTTTGTCGTTTGAAGTCGCGACAGTCGGTTATTCCGTGGTTTCCTCTACTACAATGCCCACACTGCCTTTTTTTACTGTCACGCTTGTCGTCGCCCGCGTCTTTAGCGTCCGTCGCACACACTACAGCTGTTCTCGATGATTTTCCCAGTTGCTTAGACCTATCCGAATGACGTTCGCCTAAGAGAAATGTAGCTTCTTCTAGATTCAGCATTCCCGTACGCAAATTTGAAGCGGCTCTTCTGTTCAAGAAATTCGCTAATCTCTCGAGAGTGGAAAGCGTCGTATCAGGCGCGAGCTGATCCGAGTATTCAGCGAGTTTATCTCTTAAATCGTGCGGAATTTTTCTACTCACACTCGAAGTCAACTCGTAGCTCACAAGGTACTCGGTCAATCCAAGCGATTTCAACGCAGCCACGCAGTTAGACACGCTAGTTGCGAATGAGACTAAATCGCATTTCCCTGACTTGAAGCACGGTATTCCCTTGAGCTGCTTTACCACGCGATAAGCTACTAGGTGCCGATTGCCATAGTGTCGAACTAATGTTTCAACCGCGAGATCGGGATCGCCAGGGGAAAATAATAACGTACTAACGAGGTCCAAAGCTTTTCCTTTCAAAGCTCTTTTTAATCGGATGACGTTATACGCGTCGTCAAAGAATCTACATGTACTTTCGTAGAACCGTTTGAAATGCGCCCATTCAACTACATCCCCGCTGAATTCGGATAGCTTTCTTAAATGATCGGTTGACGTGGACAAGCGCGAATTACCGATCGAATTTTCGGTTATGCTTTCACGCAACACACGCACGGTTTCGATAAAGTTATTCGTAATCGCCAAAAGCGCATTCTCTGTAGCACTCGCACTAGCCATCACTGGCTCGCTCGCTACAGTACCTCGCAGTTCGTTGATGTTGCTCCTGTTGTCGTTAATTAGCTGAGCGCGTCGCTGCGGCGGTGCTTCCGGAGACGGTGATCGTAATGAGGCCGCCATGATGACGTTGACATCCATAGGATACACAGGCGTCAGCCGGCAGACCTCGGGTAAAGGTGACTCTTCCCGGGGCTGCACTGGCGGCGGTCGTTGTCGACGAGAAAACCTCGGTGCTCGTCGGTTGAGTTGATCAGCCCCTGCCACTGCTGCCGTTGCCGCTCGAGTAGTTCGGCGAGCGGTAGTTCCTACCGGTGCTGCTTCAGCGACAACCTCCTCGATGACTTCGTCGACATGGTCGTTGAGTCGACGCCTTCGCTTGTCGTTGGTTGCTGCAGCAGCTGCAGGCATTGCAGTTGGAGCTTGACGTTTTCTCGGTGCCATTGAAGAGATAAATACGCAATTAATTGATGTTACAATTTGCAAGTACACGTTCGACTGAAGTTATTAACTGCTCAAATTTTCGCGGTGTCCCACCAGGGGTACTACTTTGTTGGATGTGGGATTTGAGCCAATAACTTTACACAGTGAAGTTTTATTGAAATATAACAAAAGTTTAATATTTGTTGCTTAAGCCAACTCAACGTAAGAACAAGATGTTCGAAGATATGCTGAGCTTTACAAACAAGGACAACTTGCTTGTTTGCCGGCTGAACGATGAGTCCCAAAACTGACTAGTGTTTTCTTCGCGTGGGACCCGCTCGCCCCCTTTTCCGGACGTCCGCTACAGTTTTCGACAGCTCTAGCCCTCTCTTTAGGCCCCGCTGCCGCGCGCATCCCTTCGCTCCGCCTACGCTGATATACTCTCGTTCGCTGTCTCTCTTTTAATTGTCTCAAAAGGCTACTTCTACTCTCTCTCTCTCTCTCTCTCTCTCTCGCTCGCTTTTCCGTTCGCTTGCCTGATGGACCCACGGTCGGCCTGACAGCCTTCCGTGCCGTATGTTTGGGTGACCTTCAATACCCGGGAACAATGTTCCCTCGCGAGGTCTGACAACACTCGGGGAGCTCCTATGCTCGCCGATGCTGATAAAATTGGGCTTCAAGGCCACGCTACGCCGCATTCAAGGCGCTCGTGCACATTCATGTCGCGCAACGTTAACGCGCGAGAGAGATCGAAGCTTTGTTGTGTGACGTATAAAACAAGAGGAAAAATATGCAAATTTGAATCGAGAGACAGCCAACGACGAAGTAGTCGCAAACAAGCAAGTTGATTATTCTTTTCACCCCTTTGACTATCTTATATCTAGATTACATATTATCTATGCACGCATTTCATTCTTATTACCACATGGACATTTCATATACAGTATAACATGAATACAAATTTGTTCTATTACAACTTACACCTATTCCAGAAACAGACATACGCACACGATGATCATAAATCCCGCTGTTACAATGGTCTTAAAAACTATTGAAAAGAAGACGTTCGAGAACAGCTCCGCATTTACGATATTGACGCTTTTTGCTTTTACGCGTATTCCGTCGCAGGCTTCGGATTAAAAAAAAAAAAAAAAAAAAAAATGAGGTGTATGCAGCGCATCTGCTGACCACGTGTTCCCTGCTGCACTATTTGCCGGGCAAAGGGCCCTAAACCCTTTTTTTTTTTTTTTTTGAACTACCGGTCAGTATTGCTGCTGTCGTGCCATTTGCTGGTTTTTTTTGGGTTTTCCCCAACGGCTTTATTGCCCACGCGGGCCTCAAATTCTGTTTCAAAACTACGGCGACTCGAAATTTTGCTGCGTAATTTATGATGGGATATTTAGAGCTTGGAGCGCAAGCTGGTAGAAATATTGCGTTTTCAACACTCATGCATCCCACATTATGCAGCCTTTTGATGTTGGTTTTTTTCGGTCACTAAAATTATGTTGGCGCAAAGCAGTTGAAGCACATGCACAGAAAAGTAATAAAATTATAACAAAAGTTAATTTTACGCTAATATTCCATGAGGCTTATTCTGAAGTGCTGAAAAAAGTGATTCCAAAAAGTTTTGAAAAAGCTAGAATATATTCTTTTGATCCAGAAAAAGTTGATTACACAAAATGCATCACAACCCACAGGGATATCATAAAGCAATCTTCCACAGCTACAGTTGATTCTCAAGTCATCCCTTCAAGTACAAGCAATAGCAACAGTATTGAATCTCAAATATCTATTGCCCTTTTGGAATAATTTGAAGAACATCTTTTCCATGAAACAGCACCAGCTGAAGAAAAAATATTATTTTCTATTTGGAAAAATAGTAGAAAGCAATCGCTTAGAAATTGCAAAACTCTTGACATGCCTGTAGACGATCCAGCTTTTGAAAATGTATTTGATTCCAATAAAGAATCTGTGATTTCTTAAAGAATCTGATAGATTTCTAGTCAAAGTAATCTTCAAGATTTTAACGAAGTAGCAATAGTTAGATTAGAAAATCCAATGGTGGATCTTGCTGATTATTCGTTGGCTGTACTATAGAAATAATTGATGATCCACTAATTAAACTAGATGCTTGTGCAATGGATGGATCTCCGATTTTGAAACAAGAAAGTAATGAAAATTAAAAAGCCAACATCTTTATTTCTGATATATCTAATGCTGCTATCGAGAAAGAACCGGTTTTTGTCAAAGAAAATGATTTTCCGTCTGAAGTTATTAACAACAATTCTAATGACAGCGGAGTGCTCACCGAAGAATTGAATAAGTCTCACAAAAATATGTCAAACGACAGCATGGAAGTATTAGACTTATCGAGTGCTTCCAAACCTAATTTTATCAGCAGTTCTCCCGTAAAATCACCACTGTTTTTAAACAAGGAAATATTATTCAACCCATTATTAAGTACCTAGAAAAAACAGTCAATTAATGTCAATCCACCTCAAGTCGGCGAGTACTGCATGTAAAATTATTTAAAAATTATTGTAGATCGCATTGTTTTTAATATAATTATTTTTTCGTAGGTATACTAAAAATTGAATATAGTGATGTTCATGTAGAGGAAGAGTTAGTAGGCATTGGTGCATCTATAAAAGAATATCCTCGAGATGACGTCAATCAAGCATGGAAAGAAAATTTACATTTTCCTAGAATAGAAACGTCCAAAATAAAGACAAAAAATGTTAAGTAGGCTCCAATTTATGCTCTGACATCACACCAGTGGAAATTTAAGTTTTTGAAACAAAGAGAAGAAGAAGAAAATCTGAAATAAGAAAAAGAACTCGAAAAGAAATTAAAAGAAGAAGAGAAGATGCTCTAACAAAAGGTCAAGCAAGAAGAGATACACAATAAGAAAAGAAAAAGAGAAGAGGCAAAGATTCAACAGCAATTGATTAAACAAGAAAAAGCAGAACATCAAAAAAAAAATCAAAGAAGAAAAATCAAGAAAATTCGAGGGAAAGAAAAAATCACAAGAAGAGAGACAAAAAAAATAGGAAAAAAGAAACCGAAAATCAAGATTCTAGAATGCCGAGATGTTTCTGATGAGTCGCTAGAAAAAGAAAATTCTATAGAAAAGCTAGAAGAAAATTTGCATGAATCTAAAGTTGTATCAACGCGACCAAGACAAAATAGGACTGAACGTGTTTTAAAAGAAAAATTAGAATCTAATATTTAATCTA